CTCTGCTCGACAGCAACTCTGTTTTGATCGCATGCGTATTTTAAAACTTCGGTAACATCTCATACTAGACCTACCACAAACTTATATTTGAAAGGGCAAAATTCAATATGAATATAGTCAATAATTTGACAGAATAAAATTTTCAGAAATTGTGGCGATAAGCGCCTCTGTTCTGCACTGGGTGAAATTATAACTTCTGCTATATTGGCATGGTTAAAAGTAACTCCAAAATAACAAAAAAGAATAGCAAGAAGATGGATGGCGTGTCAAAAGACAGTCCAGGTTATAATTAAAAAAGTCGAAAAGATCTTAATAAACCTATTGCAAAATAAAACTAATTACGCGTTTATTAATGTAATATGTATACTATTCATGAATTTTTTAATGGTCTTGTACACAAATGTATAACAGGTAAATGATCATATACCACCGCGAATTTCACTAATAATCACTTCGGCTTCGATGTTGGAACTGCCATACGCTTCATGCTCGTGTAGCAAACGGAAAGTGTCTAGAAAAATTACGGAACCTTAATGGGATGCTCGCCACACTATTATGCGAGAGTCAATGGAATCACGAAAAAATCTTACTGCTGGATGTAAAAGACAGATATTGATAAATAAAACCTGAAGATGACAACTCTGATATAGTAATCTTTGGGCCACGGATTTGTTAGAAATAGATATTTCAAAACTACAGGTTAGACTGCTGGAGATTGGTTTTGATGATAATTCACACTGGTGCCACTGCATCAGATCAAGATGAAATTTAAAAACCTCGTAATGAAAATATGAAAAGTGACAGAGCTACGAGGTCATTGACCCATTTTTAATACGCATGTTACATGTGGTATACAGGTCGACTGTGCAAAATTGGAACCGAATCGGCCCAACCCTTTGGCAGTTATACTATTCACGGACGGACAGACGGACACCAGCGACTCTCCTATAAAGCTTTCATTTTTGAACCATTTCGTGGGTGAACATGAACATATTATTACGAATATCAGTTTCTATAATTATTTAGGCTAGATCATTACTTTTACGTCAGGCATAGTGCCACTTTGCAAATTTTCACTAGACTCAAGTATTCTCCAGTAATTCTCAAGCTTCTAGTCCCTCTCCAGTTCTCTACTTATTTGCATGCGTTTTTCAAGGTTCTCTCAAATGCTTCTTAAATTCCCTTCATGTTCCCCTCAGTCTCTCAGGTTTATGTGAAGCTTTTTAAGTTCTCTTAAATTCTCTTCCTAGAATTCTCCTTCACGTGTTTGTCACATTCTTTTCCAGTTATTATCAATTTTTCCTTATGTTCACTTCAAGTTCATGGTAGGTTCCCTAAAAGTTTCACTCAAGTACCCCTCAAGATCGTAAATTCTCATCATACTCTCCTCCCCTCAATCCTTGCTCATATCAGATCCTTCTCAAGTTCTTCTCAAATTCAAGCCTTTCTCAATTTCATCATAAATGTCGCTCCTAAGGTTCTCAAGATACTTTCAAGTTTCTTTTCCTCACCTACTGTAACGGGTGGTCGATGAAAAAAGTAATTTTTCGAATTTATATTTTGGTAAGCACAGGAAAATTTGCACATGTACCGCTTCATAGTGAACTTAAACAAAGATATGTCTGGCGATAACGCGCAATGCTAGGAAACGTGTTGCGGCAAGCGAACGCGGTTGCCACGATCTCGTCGGACCTAAAAGTTTCGGTCGCGTTGTGCGAAAAGCCGAGTACGCGACAATATAGAATTCTGGGTTCCTATTGGTTATTGGAGTCAAGGGGTTGTCGGTCGGTCAGAAAATAGGGCTTATTTCGGTATTTCGATGGGGCAAGATTCAAACAGCGAAGGATGCGAAAGAGGGAAAGAGAGAGAGAAAAAGAGATTTTTGCTTGAATTCGCGGGGCGAAACGTACTACCTGAGTGCCTTAGAAATTAGATTCTAAGCGGAATTTGTGAGCGATCGCGTACTCTGTTTGTGCGTAAGTTTTTTTTACTTTTAAAGATTTATTAAAAATTGTTTGTGTTTTGAAATTGAATTTTTAGCGAAGTTATAAAAGCACACGTGGGCCGTTTTGTGTACGAGAGTTTTTATTCCGCGTATGTGGGAAGATTCGTGGTACATTTTCAAAAACTTGCGTGTTATTGAGTCAATTGAGTGAGTTTTATGCGGATAGTAGTAAAGAATTAGTAGTTACTCGTAATTGTACACGTGTGCAGATAAGCGAGTTGCAGTAGGTTGTAGTGCGAAGTAAAACCATTTTATGGTCGTTATCGTGTAGCCTTGAATTAATATGCAGAGCAAAAGTAAAAATCAATTTATTGGAAAGTGACGGTTTTACACCTCGCGAACTAGTTTAGTGTTTAACGGCATACTGTAAAAATTTTAAAGACAATTAATTCGTGCATTCTATTCGCAGCAAAACCTAGTAATAAATTAGGCAAATTTAACGCCAATACGGTGGAAAAGTGGCATTTTCTCTCGGTGCATAAATAACCACGGTTTCGAGTGTTACTTTCTCGAATTTTGAAGCTGGTTTGTTTGGATTCGCCACTCATACGAAGTTTACCGTCAAACTTGGCACTATCACGAAAATAACGTACAGTTACTTTGCTTCATTCGTTGAGATTTTCATTTAATTTTCGTAATATCATTCCTTTGGTTGGATTCAAATTTTATTTCGTATTAAAGGTGTATGTACTTTGAACAGGAGAATGCACTAGGAATTTATCATGTGGTAAAGATAAAAGATAAGAATCAAATTTAACAGGGACACGTGATCACGAAATAGGCATTGTATTTTTTTGTGTTTCTTCTTATGAATCAAACCGGTATTTTATGTCCATCTCTTCAACTTGCTATCAAACCCTCATGTTACCCAACATTTAAATTTTCCTTCCATGTTCTTTGAAACGGCAAGTTTCACCACGTCGTAGTTCGGCCAGTGATTTCGGGGTCAAGGTAACAAATTGTAGGGACATTGAGAGTTTCTACAGATGGGTTCGGTCAACATGTGCATAACATTTACCTAAAGAAAGGTGGTCGAGGCTTGGTTTGCGTGGGGTCCATTTCAGTTGATTGCCTCGGCGACAACATTAAGAAAAATTGGTTGGAAAGAGAGAGATTCTTCGCCGAACCTTCAAGGCGAACTTACATCAGTCGAGTGCGGCATTTTTAGTGTAACATTTAGTTTCATGACAAATTCGTATAATCGAGGTACACGGAAGAATTAAAAAGCCGCGTAATCGTACGTCGTCATATTTTTATCGCGAAAGTTGAAATTAATTGTAGCATTACAAGGGAAAACTGCGCCGCCAATTCGACGAAATTATTGTCGTGCGAGCTTTTAAATCGCTAGCGAGTTGGCATTACGAGTAAAAGTGGCGTATTTTTGCGAAAGGGGAACTTCGTTGTGTAGAGGAATCGACAGGTTGGCTGACTTATTTTGAACCGTGAATATAGTGCGAATGTATTTCACTCTTAATGAGCGAACACTTTCGTTTTGGTTGCATTATTTGTAAATTTGACAACGAAATTGTTGGTGTCAAAAGTACAGAACGTTTCATTGCGTTTGTTAGTGTTAGTTACGATAAATACAAATTTACTAACCACATTTGTGCACCTCTCATGTTTACACGGGGTGATACAATTCTAATTTAAACGGCAACCGATAAAAAATTTAAAGACAATTAATTGGTGCCTGGGTGAAGCCCAGTTTTTTCCTGATTCACATCGTCAACCATCCTTCAAAATTCACTTTGAACGAGTAGTCCAATTTACCAGGCGATACAAAATATCCAATTGTATTGCAGAAGGCTTTCCACCATCCAATTTTCCGAATTGCTGCTACCTTTCATGAGGAGAAAATCTATTTTAATTTTGTGAAAACTTCGACTCATTGATACATGTAAATTATTTGAAATTTTTGAATTAGATAAAAACAGGAGTCGATCGTGAAATTTCTACCAGTGCCGTAGAGATTAAAATTTATTTTTTGAAAGTGGGACTTTCTTTCGACCCCTGTAAATGTAACCACGCCGTCTTTTGTCCTAAAGACATGCTTTATCAAACGCAATATGATGCTGTAGGCAATGGTACAAGATCTTTCCTGCTACAGAACTCTATATATGGGAAATCGTTACCAAAAAATTTTAAAAGTCCATTGTCACTTCGTCATTGAGTTAATTTGTATAAGTAACGCGTTTTGTGTACGAAAGGTCTTGTCTTGGCCACAATTATAACCGAAGGTGAATAAATAATTTAAACAATTTATTGAACAATTAGGATTTTCACCGTGAACTTTTCATCCGCCGTATATAATCGCTATGCGAATAGGCGCGCCCCTATACGCACCACAATGCAGCTCGATTTCTTTTGAAACGAAACCGTCCAGACGATAACAATAGCGTCGCTCGGATGTTTAACACCTGCATTATTTTGTCGAGGATTATTCCCTCATCAAGTGATTCTTTGAATTAATCCGGACGTCTTATTTGTCATTTAGAGATAAGTTATCGAGGGGGAAGTGCGCGATTTGACGTAGTCGCGGGATGATTAGAAAATAGGCCGATGTATCCTTTTCTATTTTCTAAAGTAATGGGCTTAGATATAGAAAGCGTACTGCATTTATCTAAATCTTAAAACAAATTATTCAAATCGAATTTCTACATCTGTAATTCGTGATGTGAATACGCATTATGGCGTGACGCAGGGTGCATTTACGCAGCCAATGTTGTTCACAAGGAAAGTTTAAACGAATTAGTAATTGATGTTTTTGCATGAATCAACAGTTGTCTCTCAATACTAATTGATTATGCAATTAATATGAAACGTCCACACGTGCGTGGAGAAAGTGTTTTGGTCTATGTATGAATGAACCTTTTGAGTTTATGTAAGCCATAGGTGAACCGCAAAAACCACACAAAGAACATTCGAATTAAACGAAATATATAAAGATTATGGATATCTCGGTGCTCCCCACCCCCAGCTACTTAGGTGATATCATCATGAAATACCGGTCAGTAAGCCGGTCTACCATGCGTTGCTTCGAACTGACGTATCCAAAAGCACTATCGACGTTGTGAAGTTCAGTTGCATCGTGGTCGTTGTACGTTTAACAATTGTTTGCATAAATAAGTGATCGCGATGAGGGACATACCAAAAGTAAATTATAACGTCCCAATAAAAAATAAGAAAATCGCGAATGAAAACGAAACGAACGGTGTGCTTACGAAATGTACATTTAAATCTTACAAGGACTTTTTGGAAAATTACGAGAGCAAAAACACGAAAGACGACCAAGAAAGTGTTTCTTCGACAGACAGTGGAATATCCGATATTAAAAGTTACAGCACGTCCACTTCCAGTTTAAATTCTGAAAACGGATCTTCAGCGAAAGTAGAGGTGTTCAGCAGTGGCCGTACCGGATCTTTCCGAAATTACTTAGAAAACTATAACAATAAGAAATTTAGTTCAGTTAAGCCAATTGCGAGCAAACAAAATGTGATTAAAAGTGAAATTGTGATACAAGTCAACGCACCACAGGAATTCGTGCCGGATGAACGAGACATTCCAGATTATCCTCCACCGCCACCCCTCGAACGGCTTGAGGAGATCGCACCGGTAACGCCGCCGCCGCCTCCACCTCCATCAACACAGCCACCGCCTCCCCCATCAATACCGCCACCTCCTCCCCAATCAATTCCGCCACCTCCTCCTCCCTTCATCGCAAACCAGTGCAGTCCAAAAAAATGGGCACCTGTAGAAACCGAAACCCAGCCGGCTATTCGAGAAAAGCAGGTTAGTAACAACTCCGCGGCGGCAACAAATTTAGCGGCGATTCTCACACAAAACGCCCTCTTTAAACGTAAAGCGCACGAAAGCGAAAAGGTAATTGAATGCAAGCCGATACTGATCGAAAAACCACCAACACCTCGCCCCGTCATCAATCATAACACGCTACCAAGAGCCAAAGCGCCCGAATTCATCAACCACCGCACCATAACCATCGAGGTGCCCATCAAACATTCACCCCCAAAGCTCCTCGACGAGGTCGACTACAGCACGACGACCGTCGTACCGATCGCGGACAAAAACACCAAAGTGAAGACGAACGACCCCAACGTCAAAAAAATGGTCTACAGCACCTACCGCGGCCTTCTCGGCGCGTACAACAACAAAGCGAACGACATGATCGCCACCCTTCCCAGAACCACCATGGTCAAGGAGGACCGAGGAATCTCAAAGCAGCTGGAGAGCATCGCGTAAGTGCCCCATTTTTTCCCGTAGAGTAAGAATGTGAAAGTGTCGGCGCGTCGTCTTATTTTAAGGTGGCCGCACTTCACCTTCAAATTTGATTGTTTATTGCTATTTGAAATCCTAATTGGCTTCGCTTCATTACACATGTATTATTGTTGTGTTACCATTTTTTTTAACGGCATGTTTTGTGTTGTCTAGGTTGCAAGGTGGCTTGGAAAAATTAAACGGCCGAACTAACCCTAAGGTAGACACGGATTCGGGTGCTAATTAGAATATGGGCGCAATTATTCTATTATGTAAAGTGCTGATTGGTAAATAAAAATGGCAAGTGGTATGTAGTAGTTATTTGCATGCGTAGTATGCAATAGTGTCTAGACTGCTCTTTTTAATTTATACACTATTATTAAGTAATTATTAATTAATACTTGTGTAAGTTTTTTTAATGTAGGCAATAAATTAATATTTTACGGTAGATTGGTTCATTCTGTTGCCACCCCTCGGACGCGGACGAGGAAAGGATTATCAAATTGCGACGGGTTCGGTTTTATTTTTGGTTTTTGATCGTGATACGCTTAGAGGGGCTGTTGAACTCTCTAGAAATACAAATCGGGTACGCCCGCCAACAATGAGGTATCTTATTTTCGGACATCCTTACGAGAATACTGCTACGGCTCCATCGTCTCGATTCTTTGAACGCGTTATTTATGAATCATAAAAATATTTAATTGTACTTTTCAGCGGGCGGAGAGTACTCGACGTCTTACTCAGCGCAAGGTTTTTTGCGTTAATGCATAACAAACTTTTCGAGAACGGTTTCTTCGTGGAGAAAAAAGCGGAAGTAAATTTGCGCTCCTTTTTTGCATAATTATTGCGCTTTTCGTAATACCATTTAGGAGCGCAACGTAAGGTATTTACAATTTGGATAGTGAAAATGGCTTGGTAAAGCTGTAGATTCAGGTATTACCAGACCCAGGACTCTTAAAAAAGGCATTCTCCATTCACAATTACCTAATTCGTAGGTACGTACGCTCAATAGATAATGCCGGCATTACCATAAACAGTTATTGTTATTTAGTTATTACTTTCCCGAGCTGGTCTACACCTACATTCTCGCTCAAAATAAAACCTCTGTGAAACTAGCACCGAGAAACGTACCCACCAGTAAGTAACTACTTAAAGGGTGAAATCGGCGTTTGATTTTATCTCCGTACGGCAAAGAAATTCTCGAATTTTAATTCTCTAAATAAGACGCACGATACTGACGTAAAGAACGACCGACACATGATATTTCAGAGTGCGATATCAACGAAAAAAGTTTTAAAAAAATTCCATAAACCGATCGGGGGCGAACCAACTGTGAATCTCTAAATCACCCGAGGCCATATAGAGGCACAAAAAATTTTTTTCCAAATTCGTCCTGTCGTTTAGAAGAGTTCAGTTACAAACCACCCGTAAGGTTTGTAAAGATTTAATTCGCACAAAAATTGTTCCGCTCCAATTTCCCTTTAGAAAGTTGCGATTCATTTGTAGTACCTATATAGGTAATCGGTCCTTAATATTCGCACAAATGTTGATTCTTTTAAGCAACCCCTACAAAAATTGCACAAGATTTGTTAAAAATCCTAATTCCTTATCCAGCATTACTCAAGAACTTGGGATTTACTTGGCAACCATTTACGGGGCGAAATCCGCGCTTGAGATTAAAAAAAGGTTTCCGCTTCTAATTTCCTTTAGAAGTGCACGAGAAACCTCGGGCTAAAAAATGACATTTACTAAATGGGTGCAGCTGCAATTCCTTTTTAAAACTCACACAGCAAGAGTTTGAAAAAAAAATTTCTTTTAGCAGTTTAGATTCAATATGCAGCCGTCTCAGACGGTGACATCCGTTCTAGATGTGTAAAAAATTCACGTTTCAGATTCAATTTCGTTTTATAAGGTTACGTGTGATCTCTGGTGTTACGCAACCAGTGACGTAGCATGTCCAAATGGCGCCAAGGACAAGCATTAAAATTGCGCCCCTTCGTAAATTACAGATACGAAGAATCGCGTACGATTTTCAGTAGGGGATTTTTTTGTGCACCGCTCGAAGTTATTAAATCAGTTCGCATTCGAAAACACGACTTTTAATCCGGCTCATATTCAATAGTACTGATCCTCGTAAAATCGATTGGAGAAAGTTTGACGTCGCTATCTCTTTTCGTTCTCGAGTTAGACGAGGAACAGACGAACAAAACCATCACATAAGAGGAATTTCTTTCTTTCGAAAAATTCGCCTAAAAAGCATATACCTACACTTTTGGCGGTTGTCAGAGGTTCTCTGAGGTGAATAGGTGACGCTTCGATTTGCGGCGGTGCTTGCGTTCACTCTTATTGGAGTAACGGGTGATCCCCAGATGTCAAATGCAGGTGTAACACGGATGAAAGTAACCTACGCTATGGGTGAACAATAGGACCCGGCGGCACCTATGGAGAATAGTAGGTGTTGGGGTCACGCTATGGATGAACAGTAGGGCCAGGGAGTCTTCTTCGCTCTAGAAACAGAAGTCAACTGAATTGTTATGGTCATCGTGTTTCATTCCTCCGGTATCTCTGACTCCAGGTGCGTCGGAGTCGGAGGCCGGTTGCTCAGGCGGTTGGGATTAATTAAAGCAGACAAAATAAACTACATCCCTTGTGCCCGCCACTCATTCCGCGGGACTGTTTAATATGATGTCGTTTATTTTGGTTTTTATCTTTCTTTTATCGCCCCCTTTTGATCGACGCCCAGGACACGTGACCTGCCTACCCCACCCTAGTCGCGCCACTGTACCCGACGCGTTAGCATTTAATTATTGTCATCTGAGGGAGCGACATTATCCACCCTTGAGGTTTAAAAAAATCATTTTGCCCCTGCACAAAAATACTTCCAAATTCCAATTCTTTTAGAAGCTTACAATGCATCTTTTTACTACCACCAAAAAGTTGGCATTCACTTGGCTGGCCTTTAAGAGGGTGAAATTTACCCTTGAGGTATAAAACATTCATTTAACACCATCGATCTAATCTTAACCAACAAATTGGCATTTAGGTACTGTTCGGCATAACTCTGGGCCCTTCCTTAGACTCGTCTCTCTACGTCCACGGTGGCAAACGACATTTACCAACGGCCAAGCACACACCACACAGGGGACTGCGTAAGGGGCGCAATCCGGCTTTGCGGTTTAAAACATATTCCTTTAAAACACGCTCAAAAAAGGCTTGAAACATATCATGTCGCCTAAGGGGGCGAAATCAAGTTAAAAAAAAAACACCCACACAAAAGAGATTTCTCTCAATGAATGTCTAGTATTACCAAAGAATGTCGTTTACCCTCTAATAAAAGCAAAACAATGCATGTGCAACAAATCGTGTTGCGCATGCGCAATAATCTTTCTTATTTATGGTGCAATTTAAACGAAATTTGTATGGAAGGTTCCTATAATAAAGGTAAAGAACATGCGCGCGCTAAAAATTGCACTGAACATGTGCAATAGACAACTTCCTTATGTATGTGGCAATTTGATCTGAAGTTTTATGATAGGCCTCTCTAATAACAATAAAGCGCCAGAAATCGCTATACATTTTTAAGCAGAAGTAGAAGGTTACCATCAGAAATCGTTTTTATAATCAATCGTGCAATATAAAAACTGCATGACTTAAAAAGAGGCGATCGAATATATTGGTGCTTTTTTGAGCCGAATCATATTTCTTTTCGATTTTTTCGCCATTTAGAATATTCCAACGACACTTAAAACAGTATCATAACATCAATAAACAATAAATTACACAACGATAAAATAATAATAAACAACGATTGTTAATAAAAATGCGGTGATAGTGCGATTTGCACAAAAAAGACTTCAAATTCTAATTTCTTTTAGAAGTTTACATGAATCTCTAATATTACTAAAAAAAAAAAAAGGTAATGGGTAAGGGGGTTAAATCCGCCAACGAGGCTTAAAAATGCATGTAACATCCACCCAAAAGGATTTCAGATTGTACTTTCTTTTAGAAGTTTACAGTGAGTTTTTAATATTACCAAAAAAAAGTCATTTACTAAGCGAGCATGTAAGGGGTTGAAATCTGCCCGCCTTCGAGAAAAATGTTCTTTTAACACTCGCACTAAAGGGTTTAAAATTTTAATTCTTTTTAGAAAGTTTACTTCGTGATCGCCAAAAGGGCTGAAATCCGCCCCTGAAGATTAAAAAAATTGGTTTCGAATCTGCAAAACAGTTTACAAATTTTAATTCCTTTTGGAAGTTTACAATGAATCTCTAGTATTACTGGAAAAAATTGGCAATTACTAAGGAGCGTGTTAAGGGATCACCCTTTGAGGTTTAAAACGTTTTTTCGAGAGTTTTTTAACAGCCGCACAAAAGGGTTTCCAATTGCACTTTCTGTTAGAAGTTTATAACGAATCTCCCGTATTTAAAAAAATGACATTTACTAAGCGACCAAGGGGTTGAAATTCTCCGAGTTTTAACAAATATTCGTTTAACACACGCACTCTGTAGTTCCTTACAAAGTTATACCAAAGAGTACCTATATAACGTAATAATTCAATAAATATTGATTTTCTGCCAAAAAGGCATTTGTCATTTTCGAATCGCTTCCAAAAGCTTTTCAGCTCACAAGACGATTTAAGGGAACATCACATACACACAAACTAGGTACCTACAGACATTTTTTAAAAACCACTTTTTTGAATTCCTGGGTCCTTGAAACGTAAAGAACCGGATTGGGAGTGATTTCAATAACCTCCCTAGTTTTCATTGGTAAGGTTAAAAAAGGATTCATGTAATTAAAGACTAATTCTCACTAGAAAATAAAAATTTTTGAAATGGAAATGAGAAATAGCAAATAGCACTTTGAGGGTGAAGGCAAGAAGTATTTGTTTGGCTTTATTTTTAAGTGGGCTGGGTTTCAGCCAAGGCCGCTTTATCAACCCACCCCGCTACATTTACAAATATCCATTTTATCATAAAACAAGCTATGTTTCCTCCAAATTTCAAACCCCTACGACTTTTTTTTCGCAAAAATAAGAATAACAATCGAAAAAAACCGTTTTTCCGGTTTTTCTAGGAAAATTGGACGTTATGTGAAAATAATGCAGATAACAAAAGTAGCTCATTTGTTTAATCTCTATAACTTTTACATTGAACATTTTCGTCTAAACTTAATAGTTTTGCCACAATTTGTAAAACACCACTTTTCACCCCTTTCAACCCCCGGGATTTCACCCGCGGAAAAATTCAGCTGTTTAGTTTTTCCCAATTTCTAACCATTTCACCTGAAAAACCCGGTTTCGTCCGGTAACTAATTTTTGTTTTTTAAATAAATTATTTTAGAGCCCTTTAGCCTGAACTATTTCTCTAAACTTTTCATTTAGAAGCACGCTTCTTGTGTCTACCAAAATTGCTGACTCAATTGCAAATATAAATCTCAAAAAATCCG